TCGGCCGAAACCCCCCCCCCCTCTCCCAGCCAAGAGTCCGCGTAGTCGGCATTCACTTTCACCTCGCATAATTTATTCTATACCAAGCGTAAATTGGAGGCATTTGGCGTATGTAAGTCGCCAATTTAACAGCGCGATTACGAGGTGAGACACTCTTCTCTTTTTTTTTTCCATCTCTTTCCGCCGAGACTGCTTTAACGACGCCGCCGCCGATGTGTACCTTATGCCGCGAGGAATGCATCTCGCGCGTTAATATCACTCGACTTTCCATTCGCCGCGAACTATGTCTCCCGGCAGTGTTGAGTTATTTTTACGCGAACGCGAGAGAGACCGAGAGAAGGGGGGGGGGGGAGAAAAAGAAAAACGTAGATTGGAATTCCCGAAAAATTTTAGGGCACGCGAATATTCAAATCGCGAGTAATTTTCATAATAAATTTGCGTGCCGCTCAAATTTACATGAGCCTTAAAGTCTGGCGATAACCCGACTACTATTTACGACCGTGGTTAATCGAGCGTTCTGTCGTGCCTATAAAATTTTGCCATTTTTTTCCCCATGCGCGGTGATAACGCGCTGGCACAACGTAACATGGCTATTACGAAAATTGCTTAAATATAAAAAAAAAGTGCGGGCGAACGGAAAGGAAGCGAACAGTCGGAAATATTGTGTAGCACGAGCGAGACTTTCTGAAAAGTCCCATTTGTCCCCCGGTAATAAATATGGTCCGGAAATGTTTGCTGAATAGCCAAGCTCTAGGAAAATAAATGACACCAATTGGAGAGAGATAAAAGAGAAAGAGAGGAGTATAACGGAAAAGGAAGGGGAAGAAAGGATACAATGAAGGCGGGGCAGGTAAACGGATTATACAGGACCACGAAAGGCCCAACTATTTATTTTGTCAAAAATGAATAGCTTTCTTTAGTCTAGATATTTCCAAACTATGACTAAGCGACTGAAAACTCCAAGGAATTTTCTCTGAAAGTATTTTCTTTGGGACAAAAACCCCGAGCAACTATTGTGCAGTCTACACAAGTATCCCCAAAAGAAGTTGAAACATGCAAGCGACGACGAGACAAGAAAACTTGGCAAAAATATCAAGCGAGCCGTAACTTCTTTCCGCGAGAATCCGACGATGTTCCGCTCTGGGGGGAAAAAAAAGACAGCCACCCATTTTGGGGCCCACAATAAATAATCGAAATATTTGGATTGTTTGTAACTCTACTCTGGAAAAAGTTTTTACCGGTTTTTTGGTAGTTAAGGTAGTTATTTCGTACAATCATTTACGTGAGAATCGTTTAAAATTTTTACAGTTTATTCTTTACATTAGTAAGGCTCGTATGTGTTCAACACAAATTTCAAAGAATTTAAAGGACTCAGAGCCGTGACAGGATGGTAGTGTCTGAATATTCTATTCTAAATTTATTGCGAAAAAATATATTTATTGCGAAAAAAACCCTGGCCGAGGTGATATTTTTTCGCAATAAATTTAGAATAGAATATTTAGACACTACCATCCTGTCACGGCTCTGAGTCCTTTAAATTCTTTTAAATTTAAATTGACCGTCTCAAAGTTCTAGAACAAAAATGTTGAAGTTCGCTATGCTACGCGAAATATTACGTGTCAAACACGTAAAAAATATTATTACACGTAACAATATAATTCGTTGTAATATTATTACACGTAAAATATTATTTACACATATTGTTATGTGTTAAAATATTAGTATTTGCATTTGAAAACGCAAATAATGGCACATTTTATTTCTTTTAAGCTTAACGGTGAGTGAGCTTTTCGTATGAGAAACCAAAATATGTTATAAAGTAAAATAGAACGAATAACTGGAAGAAAAATCGAAACTATTGACCGTTTCGTTTCAACAATATAAACAGTTAAAACTGAAAAATGGGGAGAATTATGTAGCAGACATGAGTGTAGTGTAAAAGACGCCGCAACAGCGCCTCAAACTCTAATCTTTTGAATATATTTTAATCGTAAGTGTATTCTTTAGAACAATATTGCATCAAGATGTATTATTGTGATAATGAAGTGCTTGCTCCTGTTTGGAAGAAACTTTTGAGCATTACTGTCGCGAAACAACTACCTTAAGCAACTATAACATTTCGGTTAGTGCCTAATTGAGAGAACTGATTGGTATTACTTAAAAATCTTGGCTACAGATGGAATAGCTAATTGCGTTTTTTATTTGCGCGGGATAAAATTCGCAAAAGATTAGAGCCACGAACAATCCAAATAATTCGATTACTAATTGCGGGCCCGAAAATGGGATGCTGTCTTTTTTGTCCCCAGAGCGTATGGGATCCTCTTTAAGCAGATAAATTGAATAAATAGAAGTCGGACCGGAGAGGATTCGCTTACAGTAACGATTAAATCGCGCGTCCGATATTTAATATTCTATCTTTTTCGATCTGAATAACAATCCGCGCCAGTCCGCTCGGCCCTCGGATTAACAAGATGGATAATAAAAGAAAGTAATGTAAAAGAGAGAGAGAGAAAGAGAGAGAGAGAGAGATGGATTTTCTCTGCTTATATAAAACATACAAGCGATCGTTACACAGCCCCGTTTCTTTTGGATTCGAGTTCGGGTTCGGGTTATTCGAGTTTCGAGGAACAGCTGTACCTGAATGGGAACGCCCCTTTTCTTACGGGATGCAGCCGACACAGCGGCAAGCCGAACCGGCCCTTGCGAACCTGAGGGATTCTCGTATCTCGCTGTGCATTTTTAAAAGACCTCTGTCCTTCGTCTCTCTCTCTCTCTCTGTTCCTCTCTTGTTTATTCCACTTCTTCGCAGGGACTTAGGATCGTTAGGATTTAAATGCTCGGTCGCCACCGGCAGACTGTCGATCCGGAAAACTCGCGGTTTTCGCAGGAAGATTCGTTTGTTTTACCGATCGCGTCACGGCGGAGGAATTTATCTCCGCTGTATTTGAAGCGGATATCTCATTGTCGTCAGCGGCAATCGCGAGATAAAAGAACCTATGTCTATGTCGGCATAGATAACTTCGAGTCTCCGTTTATCTTTTCATAGGTGTCTAATTAAGATAGATTAAGATGCCGGAGAAATGTTAAAATCGCATCGCTGTATATCGAGACATGACGTCACTTGTTATCGCCAATTTATCGAAGTAGTCGCGATTCGAAAGAGACAGCGGTGATCCGAAACGAAGCTCGGTGGGGAGAAACGTCACGATCTCGTTTAAAGAGAGAGAGACAGAGGGAGAGAGAGAGAGAAACTGAGGCAACAAATACGTGTTTTCTAAAACTTCTAAAATACCCGCGCGACGGAACTTTCCGCGATCGGCGCGTAAATAACTGCGTATCATCGCCGACAATACGAAAAGTCCATCTCACGCGCGACGCTTCTCTCTCTCTCTCTCTTTCTCGCCAAACGAACGTCCCGTAAGAAAATACGAAAACTGTCTTATCGAGGTTATCGTTTTCCGGCTGCTTTGCGGCAACTGCGCGCGTGTAGCGCGCGATCGAAGCCGAGAGGTGGATTACAAGAGAGAGTCACGTAATAAGAAGTAAAACAAAAAGCGCCGAGATATCGACGAGATATACCGAGGCGGCCGAGGCACGCAGGCGGCGGCGGCGGTGCCGCATACGAAATTTCTCGCTATCTCGCGGTCCCCGGGATAAAGGCGCGCGCGCACATTCAACGGCGATATTTTGACGAAGGCACGCCCCACCGTGCCGCGGCTCCTCTACTTTCGAATCTCGTCCGGGAGGTTAGAATCAGCTGATGTAAGAATTCGCAACCGCTTTATAACGCTCCCGTGCTCGTTAGACCGCGTTGCATTCCACGGTTTGAAACGCACGCGCGCGACGGGAGAAGAGCGCCGGGCGGGCTGTTGAGAGGGAAAAAGGGCCGCGGGAGAAACACGCGCCTGTAACTTTCTTACGGCTGCCCCTTTTCCTCGGGTGATCCCGTCTCGGCCCGAATTGCCGACACGTCGGCATTTAACGGCCATCGCGACAGGGTGATAAGAGAAAGAGAGGGTGTAGGGGGGAGAAATGTGTTCGCGGACGAGCGCGAATTCCGGGAATTAGCTCGTACATAGAAGATCTTTGCCGTCTGTGACGTAAAGCGACGCGACGATCGACGTGACGTGACGTGACGCGACACGGCGCGATGATTCATCTGTTTTCGCGTCGCCCGCGGAGGATCCTCGCGAGGACCCTCGGCGCGCTCCTAGCCGTCGTGTCCGGGCGCGGGGTTGATTTTTCGACCTCGGCTCGCCTCGGTCTCGCGCTCTCGCGTATTACGTAATTGCCGTTGTCAAAGCAGCAGACGTGTCGACATCGCGCTACTCGCTCGCTCGCTCGAAAGCCGCAAAAAAAGGGCGACCACGTACCGAGACGGAGGGAAGCGTGTCAAATTTTCCGGATCTTTCGGCCTTCGAGAAGTTTCGAGGAAAGAGGCAGGCAAAAAAGAGAGGTGGGAAAAGGGGGGGAAATAAGATAGAGAGCAGTTCGGCAAGGAACCAAGTGGCCCTCTCTCGAACGTGATCTTGGAGGAGAACGGATTGCAACGAGAGAGAGAGAGAGAGAGGGGGGGGGAGAGTAGGGTAGCAATCAGAGGGGAAGACAGCCGGAAGAGAAAGAGGGGAGGACCGCGCTCGTCGAAGACTTCTCAGGCGTCGGCGACGGAAAGACGTCGTCGCGACGAAATTTCGCACGAAATATGGCGAGCGAGCGACCGCGACGATCGGGTGTCTCGCCGACTCTCTTGTTCTCTTTCCTTGGCACGATATTACGACACACGTACGCAGCCTCGCGCGCGCGCGCGCGTACGTTATTACACGCCACCGTTTCCTCGCGGTGTAGGTACGCCTGACCGCACGCACACGCGTACACGTACGCGTGTTGCCGTCGCCGCTGCCGCGACAAGCTCGCTCGCTCGCGCGCGCGCGAGTGCGACGATCCTAGCCTCCCCGAGCGTAAAAAGAGAAGCGCCGACGGGACGGCCAGTGGGCACTCACCTTAATCTTGAGGTACTCCACGATGGCACGTTGCGACGAGTCGGTGAGCTTGACGAATATCAGGGACTTGCGCTCGTCGAAATTGCCGTGCGACGACAAACCATACTGGACATCTGGCACCAGCGCCATTTCTTCGTCTCCCATTTCGCCGTGTGCGGCTTGTCGCCGTCTCGCTCGCTCGCCCGGCGGCCCGTCTCGCTCCTACCCGCGCACGGCTCCACGTCCCCCTTGGCGCAGCGCGCACACAGCTGACGTTCGACGTTCTCCGCTCGTCTGGCCGCTCGGCCAACGCCGTGAAGCAGCGCGCGACGACAACGCACTTCTCGCTCTCTCTCTTTCTATCTCTCACTCGCGCGTTTCTGTTCCCAGCCTCCTTTTTTTCCCCCCCTCGCCGCGCTTCACGTCGGGAGCGCACGAGTTTTCGCGCGGCGCCAACTTCGCGCCGATACGGCGGCACGGAAACCGAGGACCCACAACACCGCGACACACAGACTACGGATATCTACAGCCGGAACCCTCGACGCGAGACGAGACAAGACGTTCCTCCGTGAAACGTGTTTTTCCTTCTCGACACGCTCGACACCACCACCTACTCCGCCGCTGTCGCCGCCGCCGCCGCCTCCTGCGCCTCCTCTTCCTCTCCCGCACACAGTTGCCGTATGTTCTCTCTCTCTCTCTCACTCCTCTTTCTCTCACGACTGTCGACACACTGTACTCGCGCGATCGGAGCTAAAAGGATCCCCCCCCCCCCGGACACGATGCCGCAGCGTAGCAACCCCGTGGACGATGTTAACGGCGAAGCACCACCCTCGAACGCGCTCGCGATTTCCCACCTGCTCGGCACCCTCGCATATTACCGCGCCGCGACGCCACGACTCATCCTCGAACTTTGGGTCTTTCCCGCAACGATCGAAGCACGCCGGCGAAACGTCGATGTCGATGGACGTATCCCGCGCCGTGTGGATGGAAGAGAGGCCGCCGCACCGTCGCCCGTTTTCGTTTCGGCTACGGGCGTAAGGAAACCGCGAGACTACACACTTTCGAACGACCACCTGGTAGGCGGGGCTTAACGGACGAGCCGTTCGACCAATCGCGTCGCGCGCAACCGCGATAACCCGACAGTCGGACCAAGGACGACCCACGCCGTCCTCGCGCGGTGACGGCCAACGATCGACTGCCCGCCGGCTTTTCCCGTCCGGCGCTGCGTACCGTTGCCGCCACCTGTCGGCGCGGCGCCCACCTAGAGCTCTCCTCCGCCGCGCGTAACGGCGCGTTCGCACGGGAGACGAACTTGGTCGTGCGACATATGTAATGTTAGCCTAAGGCCGTTATTCGTAGTCCGTTCTTAAGCCCAATGTCCACGATGCTAGAACTTGGTCCAAGTCCTTGGCTCGAGAAACGTATAGCCAATAAAATTGCCGCTTTTCCGTAAAAACTACAAATTGATTGGTTACAAATTTCTCAATCCAAGAACTTGGTCCAAGTTCTAGCATCGTGGACACCGGCCTTTATATACAGAGAGAAGCCTGCGGCTGGATTCACATGGAGCGTAACTTGCGTAAGCGTAACCTGCGTATCACCAATCACAGAACTATTTCGACGGAATTATTGAAACGGTTCTATCAGAATGACCCTGTGATTGGTGATACGCAGGTTACGCTTACGCAAGTTACGCTCCATGTGAATCCAGCCTGAGGCTTGTTTTTCAAATTTTTACAGTTTATTCTTTACATTAATACGTGCAAAATAAGACTAATTAAATTTAAATTGACCGTCTCAAAGTTCTAAAACAAGATGTTAAAGTTTGCTGTGTTGCATGAAATATTACGTGTAAAACATGTTAAAAATACTATTACACACGTAGCAATATGATTCGTTGTAATATTATTTACAGTGCAAGCAATCGAATTCGCTATAAGAAAATTGGCGGATACTACGAGTTCAATATTCGTCAATAAAATACCAAAAATAATCAGAAATTCGTTAAATTTCGTTTTCTTGGAAACTTACTGACAAACTTACGATGTACGATTTAATTCGCGCATATTCATGTGTAATAAATGAATGCATTTTTTACCAGATATAAAAAGAAATCATTCATATTTAATTTCTCGTAATCGATCTCATATGAGACTTCGTGGCACTTTGTATAACACCTCAGCACTAATCACACGCGACAGGAAATCAAGGGAACAAAAATATACGATTGCACAAAGTTACTATTTGCACTCGGTATCCCTTGTAAATTTATCCGATAGTGTGAATTTTTATCAACAGAAATCAATGTATAAATGTCAAATTTAAACTATCGACGAGTAAATACATTACATCCCACGTAGCACGTAATATTACAGTAATATCACAGTAATATTACATTTCCAATGGAATATTACAATAAAATACATCGGAAATGTTACTGTAATATTATAATATTACTAATATATTACGTAATATTATGTGGGATATAATTAAGCACGGATAAGATTGATATTTAACTTTTCACTTAAACGTATCGCGATGATATTCGATACAAAGTTCCGCGATCACGCGACGATATCGTTCACCGATTATTCGCAGAGAGCGATCGCGGTTTCTTCCCGTACTTGTCGCGAACGCGTTATATCGAGAAAGAATAATATAGGATATGCGGAGCGGCGCGGACACAATCGACTCGTTTGACCCTCGCCGCGTGAATGATCTTGCGTACGGCGCCGTAAAAGCCTCGGCCAAAAACCGAGAGCGGAATCCAAAAAAACGACGTAACGTAGTAAACAACTCGGTCACCGAGCCGAGATTCCAAGAAATGACGTAGCACCCGACCTTCGAAAACAATCTATTGTGCCGAATCAGTCCGCGCGGATCAGCCGAGCGAGACGGACGTTCCGTGTGTCATCTTTTACGAGAAACTTGATCATCTACGCAACGCGATCGCCTCGTACAAGACTTATTAACGTTAGAGACGAATATCACGGGTCACTTGAGTACAGGAGAGCCGCGAGGATATCGATTGCGCGCCAACGTTCGTACTTTTTTTGCGCGTATTTGCGCACTTATTCGAGACACATCGCGCGAGTGAAATTGAAGTGATTTTCCAACGCGCCGTTGACTCGTGTAGTTCGCGCTGCCGCGGCCGCTGCGCGTCGAGATCAGAAGAGACGCGAGTCGCACTGTCGTTCGCACCGGCGATACGAGTGTCACGGGACGATGTGCGCGATCGGCGGGCGATGCCACAGCCGTGATCGAGCCCCTCGATTCCGCGAGTACCGTGGGACGTCGTGTTCGTCCTTCTCGGAGAACGCGCCTCATTCGATATACGGAAAGTGGAAACCGTCGAATCGTGCTCGCTTCCCTTTAAACAAATAAGTACGTAAATTGAGTAGAATCGTGAGGAGACCTGCGAAGGTGTCGATTGCGTCGTCAACGTGCGTATTTTTCGAGTGAGCGCGTTTATTCGAGACATATCGCGTCGTTGACTCGACTCGCGTAGCACCGCCGTTGTAGCGTCGCGCAGCGACGCCATGTTGATCCGTTCGAGGAGCCCGTGGACACGCAGCGGATCGGTCTCGTGCGTTGGTCGTCGCGTCTCGCGGTACGCACAATCGCGGTAAGTTCGCTCCACTGTCCAGCGTAACAATCGCGCGACGTAGACTCGACCCTCCACGCGTCGGTAATCCACCGGGACGCGTAAACCTGCCAAATCCCGGCCGAAATGTCTCGCGCGGTCGGCGTCGCTACGGCGCCGGCGTATCCTCGCGCGCCCCCGAGTACACCGCGAGCTCTTCAGTTTTAATTCTCATCTCCTCGCGCGTGCAGTGGTACCCGAGTTTCCCCACGCGTGATGCGCGGCGAGAGGTACGTTCGCGCGAAATCGCCCCGTCGAACGCACGCATCCGGTTGCCTTTTTCACGACGCGCGTGAAGTTAGCTTCGCGTACGTCCGCGAGTCCTTCCCGCCAGAACGTTTCCGCTCAGCGAGAAACGACTCGTCCATCGATGTCGATCGACGAATTATTTCTCACTGGGCATCGCGACGCCACCTCGGCAGATGCGGCTCGTATTCTCGCGCGCAATTGCGTCTGTCGCTCTCTCGTTCTCGTTGCAGTAAAGTCCACGTCGATTAAGGGTGCTTTCACATGGAGCGTAAATTGCGTAGCGTAACCTGCGTATCACCAATCACAGGATCATGCTGATAGAACCGTTTCAATAATTCCGTTGAACTAGTCCTGTGATTGGCGATACGCAGGTTACGCTACGCAAGTTAAGGCTGGTTTATGCAAGGCCGTAACCGTTAACTTATGCCGGAATCGGTAAAAATTGCCCAATCACCGTTAAAAGTGAAGAGAATAATTGACTGCAATTGGTTAATTTTTACCGATTCCGGCATAAGTTAACGGTTACGGCCTTGCATAAACCAGCCTTTACGCTCCATGTGAATCCAGCCTCAGTGTGCACTAAGTGCGCACCAGTGCAAACGACCGGCTAGGAATTTGTCGAAGGCACCACGGTTATGTTGGCGCCACTGTTACCTCGACGTAAACGTAAAAGTTGTAGTCTCTCGTTACGTTTCTGATGAGGTAACTCCGGTTACCTTGTAATTCGCTCGGAAGATGCTGCGATCATTGGGAGGTTTTACAGTGGTAATAATGACGTTACATTTGAACATGCTTATCGCCACCGACTGGTGGTGGGGGGAGAGAGATCTGTTCGGTCCATGTCCCAGAATACCACCCAAGGATAAAGTGGAGGTAACCTTTGCGTTTGTTGTGATCCGCAGCCCCTGTGCTCACGTTAGTCTTCGCCAGCGTTTTGGCCCAGTTTCGCAAACGTTAGCTGTTAAGAGAGACAGTCGTTTTCTTAATTTGTTTTTTTCTATATTACTAGTTGAGAAACTACAGAGAATCGGTTAACCTCCAGTGAACAGTTAACCTCCAGTGAACAGTTAAGGCCCGGTTTCACCAGACGTCGCTTAACATTAATCTTGGTTTAATTCGTGTTTGTTTCTTTCTAAAGTGACAGTCGGAAAGAGACAACGATTTAAGCTAAGCTTAAAGTTAAACAACGTTGGTGAAGCCGGGCCTAAATGACGTATGTGAAACTGGCTCGAAGGCTTAGTTTCGTCGCTTAACTTTAAGCTTGGTTCAATTCGTTCTCTGTCTCTTTCCAACTGTTATTTTAGAAAGAGACAAACATGAATTAAACTAATTGCAAGATTAAAGCTAAGCGACAGTGGTGAAACCAGGCCAGGTATAAGGTGAACCGTCGTTTGTTTGGTGAAACCCTGGCCATTGAGTTAGAAAAAGATAAAGAGTAGAACCGAGATTGAAACCTACACTGGTAGAAATGGATCTTCAACTAGTTTAGGATCATTTCAGTTAGAATTAAAGTCGATCGATGTCGATGGATTGTCAGATGGAGCGTCTTGTTAGTCGTTATTTAAGTGCTTCTCGGCCGTCACCGACAGTCACGATTATCATTCGATGTTACAGAGAGAGATCAAATTCGCAGAGGAATGCAGGAAATTTATTCCAGCGCCCAAAACTTCCTGGATCCGTTAAGAGAAGTTGGTTAATATTATCTGTACAGCGAATATGTATGAGTCTTTCCTACGGGAAACTGTAGCAGTAAATAAATGTTATATTAATTTAGATAACGTTACTGCGAGTTTTCAGTAGACCATCAGGGACCTTAAAACGCAAACGCTTTCTTAAGCCCAATGTCCACGATGCTAGAACTTGGTCCAAGTTCTAGTTTCGATAAATGTGTGGCCAATCAGCTATTCCATAAAAGCTGCAAGTCGATTGGCTACACATTTCTCGGGACTAGAACTTGGACCAAGTTCTAGCATCGTGGACCCAGGCCTTTAAAGCCCATGTCTCCACGATACTAGAACTCGGTCCAGGTTCTAGCACCGTGGACACCGGCCTTTACTCGATGTCGCTTGTAAGTCCAATTTCCCGCAACAGTTACGACTTGAAATGGCGCAACGCTATCGAGGCAGATTCTCTTGTACTTCGATGTATGCTCCTCGAGAAATGTCGGCTTACATAAAATTTTCAACGTTCATCGAGGGCGACGCGAGGTAACTTGATTTGCGAAGAGACAATTCCGGTGTTCCGTCTTGGCGGAAACATCCTCGCGTTATTCGATGCTTGGACATGCGGGGAGAAGGGTGGGGAAGGGGGACAGAATTGTGATGTTCCAAAATATTTCAGCTTGCGAATTTCAATTTAATTTAATAATCTGGTCACTTTACATGAAAAATATTACAAAGGATGGAATAAAGGAGGGTCACGGACACGGCCCCGGCGACAGATGGAATAATTTCAGAGGCAAGTAGTTTCGGATAAGTTTATTAAGAGTCCCTGGATTTACCTTCCCCCTGAGGCAGCTTATCCCAATAAGAAAGCCAATCCCTTTTTCTTTTCTACCCCTCGCTCGACGGTAACGCACCGCCTTAAGTACATCCCACAAATTTCTCACTTTCACTTTCCCTTCTCGCTAACACCATTTTAAGAGCACCCTTCGGATATGGTACGTTGATCGCAAAACGAGGAACGAGAAAACGTGCGCGAACGGACCACGGGTGAGGAGAGGGGGAAAAAGCGAAATTAAGAATTGTCATATCGAACGTGTGACTCGTTTATACTTTGCTCTTAGGACGTCGAAATCTTCGATACTTTACAGACTCGCTAGAGGCACGGTAGCGGCTGCCCGGCTCGCCGGATTGTTTATACAAGCTCGCTCCTCGCATCCCCGGACCGATTCCACCGACCTGATTCAACAACAGGCTTCACTTACGTTTAACTAAATTACGTCCATTACTATGCGCATTATTCTACGTGTTACACTAATTAATCTAAAACGGAACGATCGCTTGCTATTACAGAGAATTCAATAACGTTGATGGAACCGGCCCTCGGAGATCGACGAGGCTCCGCCGAGTGCCTCGCGGATCGCGTCCGGGCGAGATGCAGCCGCTACGATTCCTCCTCGCGATGCGAACAACTTTACCATAGGCAACGTGATTCTTTTTCTTTCTTAAAACATTTACAATGCGGAAGTGTGTACGACGATGCAACGCAACGCAATCGGGTGTTGCTAAACTCCGTCTCCGTCTGTCATTATTATTAATACGCCAGCGCAATGGGAACAAATTCAGACGCTTCGCACAGCAATAGTTTTCACTCTTTATGTACAATTGTCCCAAGAAGATCGGAACACGTCTGCTTCCTGTTTTCGCTTTTAGGCTCCACCCTGGTCGCAACGCCGCGCGACAAGAGCGTATCCGAAAAGTGAAGAGGAAAAAGGGCATCCGAAGAGCGTTTTCTCGGGCAAAATTATGTCGAAGAGGAGAAAAAAAGACTGGATTGCGGAAACACACTCAGCCGCTCCAGCTCACGCTCCGAGCCGCTTATCTGCATACGTTTACTCGCGCGAGATAAAAGAGGAGAATGATAGTCGGAAGAAACACGGCGCAGCGCGTATTGTAACACATGGAGGCAGACACATGTGGAGCGTTGAAAATTTTGTAGGGAAAGGGCGGGGTAATTTCTCGATGGGATAATGGACATTCGGAAACTCACCGCTACCGTGGCTGTCTCTCGGGATTTCTTCTCGAGATACTCCCCACGTTCCTTCCGGATGTTCGAAAAAGCGTTTGTGGCAAAACGGATATAGACAGTCTATGATACACAACAATGAACAGTCCGTGTATTTGTACGAGATATCTTTCCTTAAGCATAATCTCTCCGGACCGCGTGCTCTATAACCTTTTATTTAATTTCGAGTTATCTCTCTCTCTCTCCCTTTAGCAAACGTGTCGTCTTTTATATCGTAAACCTTTGATACACGCAACGTCATGTTTACCTTCGTAAATATTTCAAAGTAAAATCTTATCCGAGCGAAGCTACTTAAGATTAACCGAAAAATATGATAGAACATAAGGGATGTTAGTTTTTATCTCTGTGATCCTTGATTTTCAATTCCTTACAAGAGCTAGGTACCTCGATGCTTTCGCAAAGACAAAATCAATCTCAGTCATCGACTGAGAAATCTGCAGTTTAAAGGAAGCGCGCTTAGCATGAGGGACATTTCGTGTAGTAATATAATATGACTCTTAAAATATCATTTGTGTGGTGGGCGGAAAAGTACGTTTTTTTTTCTCTCTGAGTTTCAGATATGTTTTAGAATAGATTCGAGTCGCTCGAGGAAAGATAAAGTGAAAGTGACAATGGTCAGAATTACTTTGGATTTCGAGCGGGCGAGACAGCAACACGGATCGCGATCATGACCATGTATATGTATATATAATGTATATACACACTTGTAAATATGTATATAATATGTGCAGTCGTATGTGCAATATATTCTGTGATTACACGATCGAGATGCGATAATATCTTACACGTGCGTGTGTACTGTCGATGCGAAGAAGGAACAGAATTCGATTACGGAGGGTAAATGGTTGGGCGAACAGAGACGCTTCGAACAGCGGCGGTGTCGACGTGACGACGCGAGTGTGACTCGCTATCATGACGATGACGATGACGATAGAATGAACAACGGTTTCGTTACTAAACAAACTTCCTTCCTCCGCCAAGTCGGTGACCCCCGGAGTCACCGAGCGAGCCGAAATTATTGTGATCGCGAGTAAATAACGTCAGTCGATGTCCGAGTAGCGGCGAGAATTCCATTTCACCGAATACCGCGCGTTCGCTCACGGAATTTGAAGAGGCGAACGAACAAGGGAGGCACGCGTTTATACTCTTTCGGTTTTCGGTGTCCGCTGTAGGCCTGTTCTTTATAGTGGCACTGGTTCAGAGTTGATCTTTTTCCCTCCACATTAGAAGGAAAAAGATGCGGTCTGGTGCAGTCAGTTCAACTGTAAAGAACCGATCTTCTGAAATTGAATTACGTTCACAAGACAAATGTCCTCGGACGTCCGTTTCGGTACTGAAATGTTCCGCGATTTTTCATCTCGTATGCCCTCGTTCACTCGCCCCTTCGTACCACGTGTAGACAGACAGGCAGGAATGCCTGGACTTTTCTATAATTATAGAATACATTATAGAAGTGTCCGGGCATTCCCGCCTGTCCGTGCACCTCTCCATGAAAAATGACTCGTCGAAACAATGTCGATTCGACGAGTCATTTCTCGCTGGGCCTCGTATCGACTCCGCGTTACTCGAATAAGGACCAGCAACGAATCACAGTTAGTCAAACGAATGCTGTACACATGCCGGATCTCCACCCGCGTGATTCCGTCACGCCGTATATATGTATACAACTGTATATATCTAGCTACGACTTAAAATTAATAGTATTTAAACTCTGTCTCTCTGATATATAATATGCGATGATATGGCACGTGGTGTGTGTATGCAATGTGCGATGATTCAACGATGATATAACTCTAATAGGTCCCTCTCACGATCGTCTCTCTTTTCTTTCTCTCTTATCACTCGACTACAATGTTTCCCCGTAAATTACCTAACTAATCACTCGGGCTCTGAGCCCTTCGTCTCTCTCTCTCGCTCTTACACAACATTAGGTACCACACTTCTCTCTGAAATCTATCCGTATACGCTCGATTATTCTCTAAATATACGCACGAACTCATTGAATATACAAATGTAAAGAATAAATAGGCGGGACCGTGTTCTCGCGGCACAGTCAGCGCTTAGAAATGTCGATCGCCCGAGTTTTAAGATTTTATTTGTCTAATGCACGCGCGAAGGTCGCCCCCATTTAACGTCAACGTGACGCGAGAGACTTCGGGCGATCCGCGCTTACGCCAGGACGCACCGCCGTGAGAACACCGGCCTCGGCGTTGGCCATACGACAGCTAGATCTCACGTTTAGCATCGACACGAAACGGTTAACGAATCGTCGTTAGAATCGACTGCGTATCCTCGACGTATACGAAATAGAA